ATCCATTTATTTGCAAAGTGTTGATTTAAAAATTGCCTAGCCACTCGGCTAAAATGCGGCGGAGCTCCATCATGCATAAACTGCATACAAAGTCTAATATCGATTGGAACTTCCTCTGATATTTCGTGTAAACGCGTGCTCAAAAAATCAACGTACTTTGTGCCTGTTAGTTTCCCATCAAGAGAAAAAGGTCCAATTAAAAATTTATCAATTATTCCTGCCCAAACTAAACTGGTGTTGATGTCTTGAATGCACAATAACATGTGGATTTTCTTCATCCCAATTATGATTATGATGAAAATTGAATATACCATCCCTGGTAAAACTAGCTTACTAGAGTTTGCTCTGTTTATAAAGTTCATTGTATCTTATAAACGAAGACAGATAGGACATATATTTATATGATTTTTTCCATTATTTTTTGGCGTACAATCAGCTTCCGAAATGGGTCCCACAAGTTACGAAGCGCCCTGTATAATAAAATCCTTCCTGCAAGTCGAGAAAGAATGAATCACAAATTACGAAACATTATTTGAATACAACGGTTCTTTAATGGTGAATAAAAGATGGATATTTTTCAATTTTACAACACAAAATTGTATATATATTTCTCTCATTTTAAGGAAAGTTTGCTTTTTAAGAAAAATTTACTTTTCTCGAGGGATTTATGCCTTTTTAAAAATTAAAAACGTTATTTCGTTAACTTCGTTCGTGGCTCAAGTCCATTTATAACCATCAAAAACATGTTTATCATACTGATTGGTTTAGTAAATTATTCACCCTTAGAAACACAAGAATATTATACTACCACATTATCAGTTACCAATATTTCTAAATTTATTAAAACGTGAGCCGTTAAATATCTTGATTCAAAGATGAATGGACTTGGCTCCACTTTCAAAATAAACGGCTCATATTTTCTTCGCGGCTCGACGTGATCGAGTTTGCAACTTTGTCACTTTGGCTCGTGCGTACCAATCGTTCTCGCGTCCTCGGGCCCACGATTATTCTTCCAAGGGGCGATGAAACGCTCGAGAAACGTTTCAATTTAGCACCTCTCGCTGCCGGGAGATCTCTTCTTTTCCGTGAGATCGTGCAGGCTCGCGGATAGGACGAATCGACCGATGCGATGTGCGAGTCAGAAGAGTGGTAACGTCGTGACGAAAACAGGGAAGAAAGGAAAACTAACAAAAAAAAAAAGGAAAAAAAATTAAATAACGAGCTGTTCGACGTTCTGATCGCGTGACGAAGCGTGCTCCGAGGGAAGGAACGGAATTACGAGAAAAATAGCGTTAGGGAGAAGAGTAACCAGAAGAAAAAGAAAAAGATGAAAGATTCTTGATGTGGGAGCAAGTGGAGAAAACATTCCGATTGTGTGGGTGGATGGGAAGGGTTGGGAAGGGGCAGAGAGCAATTGTGTGCGAAAGAAAAATGCGTGAGAAATGGAAGAGACTGAAAACTAGCACAATTCAATTCTATCAAGCATTCAATTCAATTCAGTCGTTGGTTAGTTGAAAAACTTCAAACGAAAACTGAGAGTAAGCAATCAAAACGGAGCGAGAGGAGGACTGAGAAGGAGAGAGACAGAGAGAAAGAGAGAGAGAAAGAAAGAAAAAGAGAGAGAGAGAGAGAGAGAAAGAGAGAGTGAGAGTGGAAGGAGGTACAGGTACGAGTAGTATAATCGAGTAGTTAAAAAGTAGCTGAGAGTAAAAGAGTATCGGAGGAGAGTTAAAAAAGTAGTTATGTGTTTTCGTTTTTTGTTTGGCGGGCATTAACTAGAGTCTTAAGTGAAAGTGAGTACATCATACGTCATGTCACCATAGCCCACGGTCGTCATCGTGACAACGGCCCACCAGAACGCGTCCGGAATGGACTTGAAGAACGAATTCTCGGAGCCGGCCTCCGCGAAGTATACCGCCGATGAGAATAGCACCACACCTGCAATGCAAGGAAGAAAACACCGGTTCAGTGGGTTTAACGCCCCCGGTGGCTCTGTACCTCATGTCCCCGTAGCCCACGGTCGTCATCGTGACCACCGCCCACCAGAACGCGTCCGGTATCGATTTGAAGAAGCTGTCCTGCGTGCCGGCCTCCGCGAAGTATACCGCCGACGAGAACAGCACCACACCTGCAACGCACACAAGAGGAACAGACGCTTCACAAGACACGCCAGTTTGCCGGCCTTCTAGCCCTCTTTAGCTCAGCTTAGCAGAGTCCATCTCCATCCACGTCCACGTCCACTCCCCTCTCAGTGACCTCTTCTCCTCCACTTCTCTTCGACGTGCACGCCGTCTCCGCGGACCGACCGATCGATCGATCGATCGACCGATCGATCGATCCCGTCTCGCACCACGAGTTCACTCTCCTCCGACTTTCCTCTCTTTTCTTTCTTTTTTTTTTTTTTTTTTTTTTTTGCCTTTCCGCTCGATCGAGCAAAATCCACGTCTTTTACGGGGCTTCCTTCCATCACGTTGATTGGATTTTCACGCGATCTTCTTGCAGACGATCGGCACCTCGATTTTCGTTACCTACAGGGATCTTTACGCAGTCCTCGAGACGCGCTTCCGAACGATTCTTACCCTCCACCTCGCGCGAACCTCTCTTCCCGGTTAAAACAACGATTAACTCGCCCGGTTAATTGATCGTTTACGCGTTTTTTTTCTTCTTTCTTTTTTTTTTTGGTAATAAATTTAACAGAATCGATAGATTCTGCGAGTCTGCTCGCGAGAGAAAGTCACCCTCCGAAATATTTCCAGCGAAAATATCGAGAACACTTTCCCAGGCTAGCAAACGCTGCCATTAGCAAACCATCTTCCGCTGCGTTCAAGATTCGGCCGGTTCAGTGCCATGCAGCGCGATCGCGTTGTTCAGAATTCCGTGTTGAACAGTTTTGGTTCGCGATGTTCAATTTATAATTATCGTCGTCAGTCGTCATGTCGGAGCTTCCTCTCCCAATTGAATCTAAACCACGCCCATAAATGGGCAGTTTTTACAAAACACCGCGATTGCAAGTGCCTGGCATTTTCGGTAATTTATCAAATAATCAGACTGATAATAAACTTTTCGAAGATTGAAGCTCGCCGCTTGGAATCGCAGATGTTTGTGTACTTTATATGATTAATTGTCTATTGATCTAAATTATGCGAAGATTCATCGCGTTAATTACTCTGTAGCATCGACTTATTATATAATAATATATTATAATTGCTAATTTGAGCAAAAAGTTGCACGCAGTCTAATTTTCATTCCTCGGTTCCACGGTTTTACCGCAGAACTTGACTAATAAATTAGACATCGAGGAAGCGCTATCGCGCCGTTTAAATAGCTCCTGGCACTGAAACGGCGAAACCGCAAAATTTCTGGCTGCCAATCGTAATCGATGTCGTCGATCTGGACATAGGCGAGAGTTTTCTATCGCGGATAGAGGAAGAATCGTTCGAAGAGGACACCGCGTGCGTGACACCCAAAGGATCGGCTCCTACAGAAGTCTGACATGAACGAAAACACATACACACAGAGAGAAAGAGAGACAGACAGACAGATAGACAGAGAGAGAGAGAGAGAGAGAGAGAGAGAGAGAGAGAGAGAGAGAGAGAAAAGAAAAGAAAGAAAAGAGGGAAAGAAAGAGAAAAGAAGAATGTAACTCACCGATGAAGAGGAAAAAGATGAGCAAGCCGAGCTCCCGCATGGAGGCCTTGAGCGTACGGCCGAGGATCTGAAGGCCTTTGCTGTGCCTGGACAGCTTAAATATCCGGAACACCCTGACGAGCCTGATGACCCTGAGTATCGCCAGGGACATCGCCTGATTGGTGCTCTTGTCCTGCGGGCTTACCGGCGCCTTTGGCAGATCGATCGTGTCCTGGTCCTCGGCCATCACGGTGCCGAGCGTGATGAAGTAAGGAATGATCGCGATGATGTCGATGAAGTTCATTACGTCACGGAAGAAGTTCAGTTTGTTTGGACAGGCGAGGAAGCGCACTGATAACTCGAACGTGAACCAGATGATACAAATAGTCTCTATTAGGAAGAACGGGTCCGTAATGTCCGGCACTTCGTCCTCCTCGATCTTCGTGCCGTTCGTCGTCGTGTTGAACACCTTGTAGTGCTTGAACTCCGGCAGGGTCTCCAGGCAGAATATCACGATCGACAGGAGGATCACGATCACCGATATTATCGCGACTATCCGGGCGCCCTGCGAGCTCTCCGGGTACTCGAACAGCAGCCAGACCTTCCTCTGCAGCTCGTGCGACGGCAGCGGCTTCTCCTCCTCCTTGATGAACCCCTCGTCCTCCCTGCGCGTATCATCATTTCGTTTTACATCGTTTTTCATTCACCTTCGTACCCGAAACCGCTCGAGACGGTTGTAACACGTTCGAGACTGACACTTTAGTGGACACTTTTTTTATCGAGTCTGATAAATACACTTGATTTTTATTAATATAAAAAGACTATGATTTATGTAACTCCTCCATGAAAATTACACGTTCGTCTCGAACGTGTTTCAACCGGTAGAAAAAACGCAGCGATCTTTTCAGACACGATCCGGAGGAAGAAACGGACAGAAAAGAGGGGAACAAAACGTTCAACCTCTTTTTCTTTCTCTCATTCCGGCGACTAACGAAACACGGACGAAACGAGATCACCGCGAGCGGGAGGATTGAATGTCTCTGGGGAAACGAGCTCGCTCGACTTCATTTCGGCAACCGGGATTGTGTCCATGACCATTTTCAAAGAATCTACCGCCGTCTCGCGATACGCTCCTCGTACGTACGTGCTTAAATAAAAAGTGTCCAAATACCTTTCTTTGTCTATATACACGGTGTACCCGCGACTCGTGGTGACGAACGTGTCGACGAGAAAGAATAGAATTTTCTCGTCGAGGCCTTCGTTTTCGAGAGAGTCCGGGTTTGAGGGTTTATCAATTGTATTTGAATTTGGCCAATTTCATTATTGGCAGACGCAAAAATAAGTGAAAAATTATAGAATAAAGTTTTTTCAGGGCGTCGTTCTCGAGAAAAATTCACTTTGAGTATGTTTCGAAAATTACTTCGAGTACTGCGCACGTACTTGAATTTTCAAAGTCGATTTTATCGAAAACGGAAACGTTTGGAAAACGGGAAAATTTTGTTCCATATTTTTTGTTCCTTGTTTTTGTACATAGAACAATCTTCTGTCAATTATTATTTTCTATCATCAACATTTTCTAGAATTGGTCAAATACGAATGTACTTGATAAATTTTCAAATCTCGATTTTCTCGAAAACGAAAGAATTTTATTCTCTCTTTTCGACATATTTTTACATGTCGAATCACGGTACGTCCCAGTCGGAGTTGCGGAGCACCCTGTATATACATATAAAGGTGAATCCGAGATAGTTGAACCACTAAGAGAGTTCGGCCAATGTTAATATCTTAAAATTGAAACAACAGAGGGCCTCCGAGCCCTCGTTAAAATAAAACAAACGAATCATTTTTGGATTGTGAATCTCGCATCTGACAATTGTCACGTGTTTAACACTTAAAGCGCCGGCTATTTACACAAGAAATATTTCAGATATATTTTATTTAAAGAATATTTTATACCAGAAATAGAAATCCACGAATAGCACAAAATAGCTCGAAATTTCCATTCAAACATTTTACATGATCTTGATAAAGGATAATAATCAGACTTTTCCTTCGTTTTTATCTTTACTTTTCAAAAAAGTTATACTGAAGGAAAAATACATAAATTTATTACTTCTCGATAATTTCTATCCAGTGATGTCGACGAGTTCAAAAAGAAAACGACGAATTATTGTATACGGTTTGGTCGCTCGTTATGGTCCGCAATAAGTTGCCACTGCAAGTAGTTAACCTCTTGCCACGCACGTCGAGAATTTTTTGTTCCAAAATTGCAATACTTTTTCAGTTTTAAGTATATTTAAGTACAACACTGACAAAACAAGTAATAAATTTATTAGTAATCAATAATTTCTATCCAGTGATATCATGCCGAAGAGTTCAAAAGAAAAAGGAAGCGACGAATTATTTTATACGGTTCAGTCGCTCGTTATGGTCCGCAATCAGTTGCCAGCGCAAGAGGTTAACTGCCTCGGTTCGTTGTACTTTCTGTACGTATCTTGATGTTTCTCGGATCAATTGCAGTGCGAATGTCATTTATTGGTAATGAAAATGAACAATTTCAATTTGTCGGGCGTTACGTGAATAAATGAGTCCGGAATAAAAAGAATTTTAATATCGATACTCTTTTAAGAAGAAAATGAGAAGATAGTCCATCCCGGGCTTCACCTGAATAATTACTCGATAATTTTGGTAAAATCATTCGTTTAAACTAAATGATTCAATTTGCACGGTCTTTGCTGAAGAAAGATTACCAAATAATTATTTTACACTTTGACGAATAATTAGAAATAATTTCGTACCTGAACTTGTTGGTGGCCAGCTCGCCCAGCTCGTAGAATTTGATTTCCTCGGAGAAGACATCGAGAGGGACGTTGACCGGGCGACGGAGCCTGCCACCGCTCTGGTAGTAGTAAAGTATCGCGTCGAAGGAGGGCCGGTTTCGGTCGAAGAAGTACTCGTTGCGCAGCGGATCGAAGTATCGGATCCGCCGATGCGGATCGCCAAGCAGCGTGTCCGGAAATTGGTTCAGCGTACGCAGTTGCGTCTCAAACCGTAGCCCGCTCACCTGTCAAAATCGCCGGAATCTAGTTATCGACCGAGCGCTCAGCACACACAGCCGTTTATCCCTAACGTAACAGTAATCCCCCCACTCCCACTCCGTCCGACCGTTCCTGCGTTCCTAATTACGACGTTCCTAAATGCGCCTTACCCCGAGCTTAACCAGGCTTACCAACCTGTCCACTGCAAATTGCTAATCATCCTCGTTCGCGTCTATACACTGCTCGCCGCGTGATCGATCTCCCGCTGATTTCGCTTTAAACACGTTCATAATGAACTCGGAGTACGTATTATTTATAGTAACGGAGGAGAGCGGTCGACTCTCGCGTGGGTGTCCATCCTCGAGGAACGTCAGGAGAAGTGGATACGACCGAGGGTCGGTGAACCCTCTCGGAATAGTTCGCTTCATTCTCTTCTCGGGACGCGTGGTTGTTTGAAATCGTACAACTCGGAAGTGATTCGAAAGGGGCGATCTCGGCGCATTGAGCGTTCGACGACGGTGACGATCGTCAGTCGGTAAGTGTTCGAACGTAAATTTGTTCAATTACGAGAGATAAACGCGAGTGGACGCGGTTGATTTGTTTTGGCTTGAGAGGCAGGGGGAGATGGGGGGGGGGGGACGAGCAAGATTTTCTCTCGATCATCCTAAAGCCGCAACGGAGAGCTAATAAACGAAACTAGGGTAATTGCGGCCTGCTATTAAGACGATTAAGAAGAAAAAGAACGAGGTGTCGTTCGGAGGCAACTTCGTCGATAACGATGGTGGAAAGATCGCTCTTTGAGAACGCACGGAACGTCTTTAGCCTCTTCGTGAAAACTATTTTTTTTTTTTTTCTCATGAAAACTCGAATATTTGGTCTCTCTTCTACATAACTCATTGTACTGTACTCAATTTGACGTAGATTCTTTTGTTTTGTTGTTTGTAAGCTTGGATCAATGGTGTTTAACCCTTTCGCTCTGTAAACATGTCGTTATAGATATAGATATACGAAATGCGTTGGCAAGAGCATACAGAATGCGTACAACGCGTAATTTAGTTTCTCTATCTCTCCACACTTTGTAATAAATTTTATTCCAGTAATTCGAGCTTTTGAAAATTAATCGAGTACATGTGTATATATCATGATTTCTTCGTACATGATCACGTACAGGGTGGGAAATCACTTCCTATTAAAATAAACTCGTGATTTTTCGTATTATATATGTTTCTGAAATTTTTGTGTACCGATTTTTAAAATACAATGAAAAAGTTTTGCTTGAACTTGAATTTAATTTGAAATTAATAAAATTAGTTTTTCCTTATGTTTTGATGTTTGTAGATAGGAAGAAACTATTCTGTACATATACGTTCTTGGTACATGACTTGGTACATGACACTTTTTTAACATGTATATATATTTCGGAGCAGAAGGGTTTTGATACAACACAATTATAAACACAAATTATTTTATCAGATGCATGTGGAAACTCTGGAAAATTGGATTTTTTTACTTAGGAATTTAATATAAGCACGTCTTCCAGATATTTCAGCGATATTAGACAATCTCATCTAAAATCTCAAATTAAGCACAAAATACGTGAAACAAAGCGTTCACTTTCGCGAATGTTATTTCTTTTACATTTACATTCAATAATGGTGGCTCGTGGCTCGAAATCGTCACTTTCGAAATATACTATGTATACTATAATTTTTTACTATTATTCTTTTTATACAAAATAAGAGAACTGTACGAGATCGTTGTTGACAAAATTAAAATACAAAGGGAAAGTTGCAGGTGCTGCGTTCCTCGTCAAATAAACGAAAAGAAACTCGTCGAGCGTAGACAAATACGCGCGTGAAAGACGTATAAAACACGGCTTCCGGTAGTTAGCTAGCTAAAATTGTTGTCCGTGAAAGTCACGAGTGAAGAATTTGAATTTACGTGGCGAATTTCGCTACACGAAAATCTTCTCGTTAGATCGAACAAGAGCCTTCGAACGTCGGTAGCGTTAGCGATTCGACCGGAAAGACAGGACGAGGGAGCAAATGTTGGATCGCAGCCTCGACAATTTACTCTCTCTCTTTACGTCCGCGAGTGGAAATCGACCACAATCGGTCGATCGGACACGCGCGCGATTCGCGGTTCGCAGTTCGATCATCGAGGGAAACGGGAAAATTGCGGGAGGGAGAGGGGGTGGATAAACGAAGGAAAGAACAATTTAAGAGCAATTTAAATGGCTCAGAAGATGGAAGAGGATAATTGTAATCGGTTTAGGTAATTCCCCTGGCGCGGTCCGAGCGATTGGCAACCGACGATGGTTGCGGAGAGGAAGGAGGGGGGGGGCGGAGGGGGGAGAGGTATCGATCGGCGCGCGGGTGTCTGATCGGCATCGCGAATTTTTCGAGGAACGATCGAACGGTTACTGTAATTGGCGCAATGCAGTCGTGTCATCCACGAGGACAGATAATTCCGTTCACACAATACGACCTTGGTACTATATTGCCCCTGATTCCAAGACGAACTTGGACGGCTGCCAAAATACGGTCTGTAGGTCACTTCGTGTCTTGAGATAATCTCGCCCCCCGTCCCTCCTCCTCCTCCTCCACCTCCTCCTCCTCCTCCACCAGCCCATCGAGCAAGTCGGAAAGGAAAGAAGCGTGCGGCGAGCGAACATCGTTGCATTTCGAAGTGAAAAACGCGTGCAGATCGATTCGAATCCCGCAGCCCGAAGTCGAAACTAACGACGTGTGTATATATCTATATCTATATATATATATATATATATATATATATATCATAGTTGGGAGAACTATCGTGCAGTCGGAGGTTGTTTACGCGAGACTCGCTTCGTTTACTCTGATTTACTTCCGTTTGTCCTTACGGTTCTCTCAAACACGCGCTTTCATTTTCTCGCAATCAGTTTTGTTCCTTTTCCATTGGCACGTCGCCTCTGAACCGGGAGCGCGACGAGCGTGCTTGATTATTCCGGGCAATTGCGATCAAATACGGGTCGGGACGTTTTTTTCCGCGAGCATGGCGGTTTACACCGCTGCGAGAATTTCGGGCTTCGACCACCCGCCGGCAGATGGAACAGGCAAACGAGCTTGCGAAATTTATATCGGGTTGACCAAAAAGTAATTGCGTTTTCTTTTTTTTTTTTTTTTTTTTTTTTTTTTTTTTT